TGTGTGTGTGTGTGTGTGTGTTTGTGTGTGTGTGTGTGTGTGTGTGTGTGTGTGTGTGTGTGTGTGTGTGTGTGTGTGTGTTTTATCTTTGGGGATGATAAAGTGAGGCTCATGTGTTTGGTGGAAGGCTTCCACCTTACCTCACCACCGCCGTCTTGTTTGTTTACTTTATGTTGAAGCCTCGAGCCTGTGTGTGTCTGTGTCTGGAGATGGAGGAGGATGTGTCCAGCCCTTCGAGTTTATCTCACACGATGGAGATGAAGAAATTTTCTATCTATGTGTGTGTGTGTGTGTGTGTGTGTGTGTGTGTGTGTGTGTGTGTGTGTGTGTGTGTGTGTGTGGGTGGGACGTAAGTACCGTGTGGCATGATGGTTACTGCAGACAGATGAAGAATTAACAAATGACTAATACTGTTATCAGGTGGTGCGTGGTGGAGGTGTATCAAAGGGACTGGTGATGTTTGTGTGGTATTATGTCGGGGATTTAACAGCGTCGTTAAGTTCAGATGCTGATAGATTTCAGTTTTATCTATTTAATTAACAGGACAATTACCGGTTTTGAGGTGCATTGTTACTGAGATAATGAACTTATTACTATTGTTGATTATTACTTCACTATACACGCACACACACTACATACATATAATGTTCGTGAAGGTGATGGTTGAATGATACTCCAGTGATTATAAATATTAGTGGTGATGGTTGTAGTAGCAGTAGTAGTAGCAGTAGTAATAGTAGTAGTAGTAGTAGCAGTAGTAGTAGTAGTAGTAGTAGCGGTGGTCAGTATCGGCTCAAAGTCTATTCTGGGTGGAGCTAAGTGTTTAACGAAATGAAACACCTGAGACAAACTCATAAACCCACGTGGCAGTGAAAGTTTTATTGGTGGCTGCTAAAAACCTCATCATCATCATCATCATCATCATCTTGGCTAAGTCCTAACAGCGTCGGTCAATACGTCTTAGAGAATAACACCAGGTGACCCAGGTAAAGTGATTACCTATACCCTGGAATTATGTTACTAGGCCAGAAATATAAAAAGATTGAAGTCTATATACAGTACAGGCCTTTCTCTTCTCTCTTTCTCTCTCTTTCTCCCCCCCCTCTCTCTCTCTCTCTCTCTCTCTCTCTCTCTCTCTCTTTACTTTCTTTTTTGTCTAGCCTTGAGATGAAGTAATATAGGCCTACACACTTACATTTTATATACATACGCACATATATACATATATACACATTACAACATGGGTCATATTAAGGTTAAACAAGAGAACAGAGCTGTCAGGATTATGTCTAGTTAGCAAATGTATTTTTGTAATGTTAATTTTTATCTATCTACATGATAATTTCTGATAAAACGGTTTTGGTGGTACAATAAATGCAGGTATGTAAATGTAGGTATTACAAGAATTATTAATAGACAATACTTACAAATATAAATACAAACACACACACACATACACACACACACACACACACACACACACACACACACACACACACACACACACACACACATCTCTGTTGTCCCCACCCGTTTCCCTTCCTCCCTTACTTTCTCCCAAACTCTCTTCCTCCACCACCCTCCCTACCTCTCATGTCTCTTACGTCGAGGTGAGACAGGGGAACGATAACCCGATGTCTGTGTGAGTGTTAGTGGGCAACAGAATCACGACCTGTAAACACCGTCTGTTTGCCTCATTTCCTTACATCACTTTTTAAATATCTTATGTCAGGGAGTTCATAGTCTACACGATTTATCAGCTGCCAACGGTGTCCTTCGGTATGAGCTGATGATAATACTAGTTGATTAAACTTATTCATTTGGAAACAGATCGATGAAGTTTTTTTTATATATGTATTGTATATAAAGTCATGTAATTAGTATGACTACTTCTTGTTGTGATATATTCCGGGAGTATTTTTTGTATTTTTTATAGTTTTGTAAGGGTTTTATAAATAATACTAATAATCGTAGAATAGTGTTGTGTCAGAGAGTTCATCATAGGCTAAAAGATGTATCAACTGGTATGATATATTTTCTAAGAACTAATTGTATATTTTAAACTCATAACTTTGTCAAAAATGTAAAAACAAAATCCTATAAAACAGTAACATCTAACTTTATATTTCTTATTGAAGTAAATTATAAACTGGAACATTTAATATCATCTATCATGGATTTTTCCTCTAAAATTATAGACATTGTTCACTAATATAGCTGAGGAAACAAATGTGTGTAATATTGACTGGGTAATTCACTTGTTGTTAAGATGTACTTTTGTCTTAGCTTTAAGTTTGGGTAAAAATAGATATAATGTGTAACTCAAACAACACAATACTTTGTATCTTGTTTAATATCCTGGTTTATATATATATATATATATATATATATATATATATATATATATATATATATATATATATATATATATATATATATATATATATATATATATATGTGTGTGTGTGTGTAAGTAACTATAAATTCGATAATTAGATAAGGCGGTGAATGTCATTATTTGTTTAATTAATACAGAAGTGAAATATTTTTTTGGTCAATTTCTATGGATAAAATGTTCAGTAATAATACGGAAGAGAGACTGTGTGGCATTCCTTTATGAACAACTATTCATATAATAATTTTTTTACACCAAAACAATAATATAACTGGTAGGATAAATTCTGGTATTTGTTGCCATTCATTAGAATAATTCACAGATATGTCAAGTTTATTTTAATTTTTGGGGAAATTAAAAGGAAAATCTTTTTTTTTAAGTTCAGTTTTTATGAGTTATTTCTGCAGTCTTGGTTTTCTTATATATACCAAGACAATAATACGGCTACATGTAAGTTTTTTCTTCAGAGATTCAACATAAATATTTATATTGTATACACAATTTAGATGGATTTCTTTCCCCAGGCATCAGTTGAAGCCAGAGGTTGTATGTCTTGGCTGGTTGGACATAACAATAGGTCCATGTTGTCTCCTTTCAGACGTAATTTTCAAGAATGACGTCGTACACACACTCACACACCAAACATAAACATTAAGAAACACTCGAGTGGTAAAAATAACGTGGTGGGTTCTCGTGGCCCGCTGTGTTTGTCCGAGCATCCTGAGGGGTCGCGTGACGTCACTCAGCCAACGCAGGATCGTGACCAACAGCTCCATTGCTAGAATACCTCCCGCCCACCGCTGTTGACCGCCTCGCATTTTTGTCGTGGCTCATAGCGAGGAAGGTCTGTCTGATGCTCTCTTTGACGGCCGCGTTATGTTGATGTTGTTGATATTCTTCTGACGACCGCACGCACATTCTTGCTGTTCCTGTGACGACCGCAGACTGATGTTCCTGTGGTGGCAATAGACTGATATTCCTGTTGTGGCAACAGACTGATGTTCTGCTTTACTCTGGATGATTTTTGATGCTCGTAGAGGGTTAGGGGCAGGAAGGGGAGCAGGGGGCAGGAGGGGAAGAGAGAGAGAGAGTATTAGGGACAAGGAGAGGAAGGAGGCAGGGGGGGAGTAAAGGAGGGAGAGCATCAGGAGGGAGGGGGAGGGGGTGGGAGCTTTACTGCATACATTCCACCTTTCCTTCTGTCTGGCCTAACTTCTCCTATCTCTCATATCTCATCTCTATCTCGTCCTCTTTCTCCCGTCACAATCCCTTTATGACGTCATCAATCTCCACCATAACGTGACCTGTGGTTAAGAAAAATTGCAATTTATGTCGAGGTCTCAGATCAAGTTCACGATATCTGAGAAAATATAAAATGGGGAAGAATGTGTAAAGGCTGGGTGAGAAGGGGAAGGAAAAGGGGGTAGTAATGGGGTGGGAGAGGAGGGGAAGGGGTAGTAATGGGGTGGGAGAGGAGGGGAAAGTAGAGAGGGTAGTAATGGGGGGTTTGGGGGAGGTGGTAGTAATGGTTGTTGGAGGGGAAGGGAGGTTATTGAGGAAGTAGGAAAGAATGGAGGGATAATACTATGCACTTTATATATATATATATATATATATATATATATATATATATATATATATATATATATATATATATATATATATACAGTATATATATATACATATATACACATACATTCAAAGAAATATATTCATGCACATAAAAGTTCCTCCAGAAACACACACATATGAACACAAATTTGCTTCCACTTATTATACAGATAGACAGACAAACACACATCCATGACTATAGAAGGTCAAGTATTAAGAAGAAAGTGTCCATCATATATATTGCCTCACTGTACTGTACTGTGCTGTGCTGCAAGGCTCCCTCCCTCGTGTACAGTGTCACCACCAGGCTGAGGCGGCCACCTTATGGTAATGTTCTGCAGTGCGGCTCCGTCTTATCGTCTGGTCTTCCTTCACCTTTGGTTAACTCTCAACTTCAGGTTAGATTATTTCACGCATAAAGCACTCTAATAATTTTTTATAATATACACTCGGGATGAAGGTAGATATGAAGATAAGATAATACTAAATATTTGTTAAACTGCCATGAGTAACTGGTGACGTAACATACATGATACCTTTTATGTCATTATCAAGCGACTGTCCAGCCACCATAACATAACAGTGTAGCCGCAGGAGCACAGCACCACCATCCTCGTCGGGAGGCTGGTGATGACTGAGCTAGGTGCGCCCTCCCTCCTCCCCTCCCCTTCCCCTCTCTCCTTCCCTCCTGCCCGAGATCAACACTCTACTGAGTTGCCAGCTACCCAAAATTACAGGTGACTCCGATTTTCAGATTATTTTACCTGCACTTACTGGAACATGAAGTTTATTTTTACATAAGAAGTAAATTTGTGATAATTCCATAATGCAGCAACAAAAACTAATGTTATATGTATTCGTATTGTCATTAGAATAAGGAGTCTCAAAACACAATGGTGTATGTTTTCTCTGGCCAACAGTGACGTCATAACTCTGGGCACGTGTGGAGGGACTGTTGGGGCAACAGGTGAACTGGGCATCAGTGATATCCGGGCGCTCATGGTAGCAACACGGGTTTCCTAAAGCTAACAAACCCTAAGACTCAGCCACTGGTTTATAAAAGACGCGGCAGTGTAAGGTGTCCCCAGTCTGCTGCTGTCCTGAAAACTCTTACACAAGTTGATGACACAGGTGAGCAGAGTGCTGGTGTTGCCTAGCGATGACACCCAACGTTCATGATCAGCCGAGCGTGAGATGCAGTAGTCCGAATATGGAAGAATATTTCCCCCGCCAGATGAGGAAGTGGGAAGGCCGGAGAGCGTCGTGTTGTGGGCAGTGTTGACACCTTCCTCACCCTGGATTATTGTGTACCAGCGGACTCACTCAAGTCTAGAGGTCGAGAAAAAGATATATGGTATTGACGTTGACTGAGACTACTAAGTGACTGAAAGTGAAGTGAACTGAATGATTTGGCAACATAAGTCACATGTTATATAGTTGAAGCAAAACATTTGATGTAAGAAAGTACCGAACCTAAACTATTCATAACGATAATCTCGCTCCATCGCGAGTGATTTCGATGCGCGTGCAGTAGTGATCTGTTGACGTGGCGACATGATCGATAGGAGCCGTCAGGTGATGGAGGGGTACCAGGAGCAGCGTCGCGACGACCCTTCCACCGACACCAACAACAACACCAGGAACACTAGGTCAGGGGAGAAGTACGCCCTACGACCCAGGACCATCATTAAGAGGCTACAACACGAAATAATCCGCAAGGAAGTTCCCAAGAGGTCACCAAGGTCTAAGACGAGGCCAGCGCCGTTATCAAAGTACCGGAGGAAAACTGCTAATGCTCGAGAACGTCATCGCATGAAGGAAATAAACAACGCGTTCGAGTCCCTGCGTAAGGTTCTCCCCGACGCAATGGAAGTTCACACCAGCTCATCGTCAATGACCAAGATCACGACCCTCCGTCTGGCTGTGGATTATATCAGAGCTCTCTCACATGTCCTGGAAGACACCAGTGATGCAGACCTCTGTACCATCCAGAGCACATTACAAAGTTCTATACAGGACTCATTGCACAGCTCCCTACAAGAGTCACTACAACAATCCTTCCAGTATTCCCTGCAGAAGATAACTCCCTCTTCAGGTAGCTTGATGACGACCTTCCAGTACCAGCACTCCACCTCTCATCTCCCCCAGCAGCACCTGCCCCAGTATCCTCAGCTGCTGGGGTACTGCACCACCCCCAGCACTGTCTCCCTCACCAGCTCGCCCTGCGCCGATCGAAAATCCCTGGGCAGTGCCAGTGACCTCGAGGAGCTCCTCTCTGACGACTCTGGACTCCTGGAGGACAACCTCGATGTCTTCCACGACATCCCAACCTTAGCTGTAGCTGACCCATTTGAAATTCTCCTCGTGTCTGAGAAGGACGGCGGTTTGTCCTTCACCTCGGAGTTATGTAACTGAGAAGTGAACTCTTAAGTTTCTTGACTTAGTGATGAATATTTCTACAGGAAATAGGTTAATCACCGTGCTGATATGAAGGTGCTCCCATTTTAAGTTTACGTCCGTACACCGTGTTGTTGAGTGTGACGCACATGTTCGTGTGTGTGAAGACATTCTCTCTCCTACTCTGTTGACGGATACTTCACAAAGAGAAATGACGGCTGTTGAATATTCATAAAGTCGTCCTGTGTTTTGCATATTCTGTCAGTTACCTGTCCGGTGATGTCATGCAAGAGATCACAGGACCTCAGGTGGAGTGAGCTGCCCCAGTGCCACCACAAGCAGGCGATGCTAGTCTAATACCAGTGCCATAAAGTGCCATTCCTGTAATGTCCACCATGATGTTGAATTGTGATACATGACAACTCACTCTTGCACAACTTGGTGTCATTGAGTATCATGTAAAATCATGAAAATTCAAAAATAATTTAAAACATGTAAATATATGTAAAAAGGATTATTTTTCAATATAAGTTTTCAAGATTTTGTGTGATTGAATAAAGATAATTTTGATGTATCAGAGGCTTTCCTTCCACTAAAATCCTTAATGAGTGAATGTAATAACTTATCTAAAGTGTGTCGTGTGAATAAATCATTATAAATATTTTATTTTACTCACATAAAGAAGAACTTTCTTTCCTGTTACTACCTATAAAAATGTTATCTCTCACAATAACCAAATTAAACATTCTTTGATAGTTAAGTAATATACAGACTTACCAATAGGCCTATGTGTTGGCAAATGTTACAATGTTATCACCACGTTTCGACAACTAAGGTCTGTAAGCGCGTAATAAGGTTGGTAAACTCACAAGTCCATCAACAAATAATGATCATGAAGGACATAAGTTTAATATGTGGGAGTCTGTCGCCCGATGGTGTGACTGACGCCTTGGTGGTAGAGACACAACCAAACACCAATCATCTCTCATCATCTCTCATCATCTCTCATCATCTCTCATCATCTCTCACCAACTCTCATCATCTCTCATCATCTCTCATCATCTCTCATCATCTACCATCATCTCTCATCATCTCTCATCATCTCTCGTCATCTCTCATCAACTCTCATCATCTCTCATCATCTCTCATCATCTCTCATCATCTCTCATCATCTCTAATCATCTCTCATCATCTCTCATCATCTCTCATCATCTCTCATCTCATCATCTCTCATCATCTCTCATCATCTCTCATCATCTCTCATCATCTCTCATCATCTCTCCACCAACTCTCATCATCTCTCATCATCTCTCATCATCTCTCATCATCTCTCATCATCTCTCACCAACTCTCATCATCTCTCATCATCTCTCATCATCTCTAATCATCTCATCATCTCTCATCATCTACCATCATCTCTCATCATCTCTCATCATCTCTCACCAACTCATCTCTCATCATCTCTCATCATCTCTCATCATCTCTCATCATCTCTCATCATCTCTCATCATCTCTCATCATCTCTCATCATCTCTCATCATCTCTCATCATCTCTCATCATCTCTCATCATCTCTCGTCATCTCTCATCATCTCTCATCATCTCTCATCATCTCTCATCATCTCTCATCATCTCTCATCATCTCTCATCATCTCTCATCATCTCTCATCATCTCTCATCATCTCCCATCATCTATCATCATCTCTCATCATCTCTCACCAACTCTCATCATCTCTCATCATCTCTCATCATCTCTCTACACAACAACTTCTATTTATTATTATTATTTTTTTAACAACTATCAACATTAGAGAAAGAAGCAGCTAGTAGACTGTTGACTGGATTATAATACATATAAACCAAATCCTTTTATATTCTTCTCCGTGATACAGTCAGGTCATACTCAGGTGCTGATCCTCTCATGTAAACCCCGACCAACTGATCCTCTCATGTAAACCCCGACCAACTGATCCTCTCATGTAAACCCCGACCAACTGATCCTCTCATGTAAACCCCGACCAACTGATCCTCTCCTATAAACCCATAACCCCGACCAACTGATCCTCTCATGTAAAACCCTGACCAACTGATCCTCCATGTACAGTAAACCCCGACCAACTGATCCTCTCATGTAAGCCCCGACCAACTGTTCCTCTCCTATAACCCCGACCAACTGATCCTCTCATGTAAACCCCGACCAACTGATCCTCTCATGTAAACCCCGACCAACTGATCCTCTCATGTAAACCCCGACCAACTGATCCTCTCATGTAAACCCCGACCAACTGATCCTCTCATGTAAACCCCGACCAACTGATCCTCTCCTATAAACCCGACCAACTGATCCTCTCATGTAAAGACCCGACCAATTAGACCACAGTTGTATGTCACTCAGTCATGTTAACACGTCCCCGGTCATGACAACAACAACAACAACAATGACAAAAGAAGAAATTGCAAATATTAATAGAAATGAATAATAATAATAATAATAATAATAATAATAATAATAATAATAATAATAATAATAATAATAATAATAATGAATAACATAGACATACATATTATCCTCCAAAATTTATTCATATGTATTATCACAAATTCCAACCTGAAATTAATTCTAGTTGCGTGTCGGTTACTGTTAATTAAAGGTTAATACATGAGTGAATTAATTGCTAAATACATTAATAAACAAAGAGAAAAGAATAAACAAGTAAGTAATTTTAATCACTAGAGAGAGAGAGAGAGAGAGAGAGAGAGAGAGAGTTAAAACGGTACCTTAATATCTTTACATCTTAATCACACTACAGTATAAATCTCAATACCTTCCACCACCTTATAATGTATCAGGTAATTAGCAGGTGTTGTTGTTGTTCTTCTCACGCTCCTCTCACCTGTTTCCTCCCCTCCGAGGCCAAGTCGTGTGTACAACAGCTCGGCCGGCCTCTCACCTGATGCTGTGTATATACCTGTCACCTCCACCTGATGAGTTATTTGAAGTTATAACTCAAGGACGTCTCTTCTATGCAAAGTTAGGTTAGGTTAGGTTAGGTTGTATTCTTTATCAGCCTTCAACTTACTTAACACCTTGTAATGTATACTGAGCCGTTGTGTGTGTGTGTGTGTGTGTGTGTGTGTGTGTGTGTGTGTGTGTGTGTGTGTGTGTAAGGTATAAGGTATAAGGATATAAGGATAGTTTTAAGACAAACCTGAACAAGTTCCAAATCGACCCCTTCACCTGGGAGACGATTACTCCACATCTTAACGTTTGGAGGATCACCACACGAGAAGGTGTCAATACTTTCGAGTTAGCCCGACTGCATACCGAGGCAGACAAGCGCCAACGCCGGAAAGACGCTGCCACCGCCCCTCCCGCACTAGATGTAGCCCTCCACACGTACAACAACTGTGAACGACCATGTCGGTCTCGTATCGGCCTCTTTAGTCACCTCAGAACTCACCAACGAAGGTGACATCCTTAAAAATTCATATCATTCTATCATAGCTGGATGATCGTCATACTTAATTCCGGGTGACAGCAAAGTAGTATGTATGTATGTATGTATGTATGTATGTAAGTATACGTGTGTGTGTATGTGTGTATGGATCGTGAGGTGGGTGCCCCGTGCCACTATCTTTGTCATCTCAACACCATGCACCGCCCTCTCATTACCTCTATCACTCCTACATACATTATTCCCATATACACACGTCGTGCCAACCTCTCACCTCTTCATCAATGTACACACACACACACACACACACACACCAGCGCCACTGCCTTTCTAAAACTCGATTTCAAAAAAAAAAGATTTATTATTATTATAATGTCTCACCTTTGTGGTATTCTATTGGGTTTACAGTATATTCGCGCCATTAGTTATTGGTGCTAGAGGGGAGAGTTTGATGTAGTTTCCGTGTATTTGTTATTAAGGAAGATAGGTTGGGTTTGGGGGTTGGGTTTGGTTTGGTTTGGTTTGGTTAGGTTTTAGTTTAGGTTAGGTTAGGTTTGGTTTGGTTTGGTTTGGTTTGGTTTGGTTTTAGTTTGGTTTGGTTTGGTTTGGTTTGGTTTTTAGTTTGGTTTGGTTTGGTTTGGGCCTTTTGGTTTAGTAATGTTTTTGCTTAGAGAGGGGGTTATTTATAGATAAACGTGAGGTATAGACGAGAAAGGCAATACGTTTGACAAAGATGTAAAGACCAAACTCACAATAGAAATCACTGGAGCGTATTATTAGTATAGGCGTGGCTTGTGGAGAGGGTGTGTAGGGACGATGGCTAATTAAAGGGAGGGGTGGTTAATGTGGAATGGGGAGGAGGGAACAGGTGTATGTGGAATGGGTGGGAGGGAAGGGATGGTATATGTGGAATGAGTAGGAAGGAAGGGTGGGAGGGAAGGGTAAGTGATAATGTAAGCGGATTAACGTGTATGGAAAGACTAACAGAGGAAGATAAAGATGACACAGAGACAAGCACTGATAAATGAGAGTAAAGTAGAAGCTTAGAGTAACAAACGATCATGCCAGGAGAGAAAGCTTAGGTAAAGAGTCAGCTTGTGTGATGCAGCAACCAACACCGACGTCTTAAAAGATAGGCAGGACGAGTAATTAAGAGTTCCTAACCTAACCTAACCTAACCTAACCTAACCTAACCTAACCTAACCTTAATTAAACTAACCTAAAATAACCTAACTTTACCAAACCAAAACAAACCTAACTTAAATTAACTTTTGAGATGGTCGGACGGTGAGAGAGGGTGGGTGTCCCAGATGATGTAGCCAGAGTGAGTGTTTACCACCTGGTTATACACTAGGTGGTCGATGATAAGGCGTCGTCCGCATGGTTCTCTCACACAGTATGGATATGTCTACAACGTTTGGGTCCTGATCATCTCCGTCTTTAATTTGAGTGAAAAAGACGTGTATATTTTCTTGACACCCAAATGGTCTTTGACTTTTGATTTGAGTTTATTTCCTTTAACTTGAAACGTCCAGGTGACATCTCGACAAATTTCATCTCCTATATTAAAAACAAAACATAATTCCCAAACCATTAACCTTGAGGTGACGTGTTGATAATCCTCACGTGTAACTTATACAAAGAATACAAACCTGTCCTTATATTGCCACAGTCCCGTCACCAACAGCACCAGGGAAGTGCGTAAGAAGAAAGCCATCTGTCCATATACCGTCAACACCGCACCGCTCGTCCATTCCCAAGAACTACCCTTACACCTAATCATCCATTATTCAATTTGTTAATATATCTCTACCTGACGTTTAATACATAAGGTAAATAATCAATAACTACATAACGTGCGGAGGGAACTGCTACTCTACAGGTAAGGGTTATGGTCCTACTGTATAAAAAAAATAAAATAATTCTCTTCGATCTAGATGGACGTTTTATCCTGCTCCAAATTGTGGCCTCCATCACACTTCATCACTTGTCCTCACACCACCAACCACCACACGTCTGTATCATCACTCAGTCGTGTAATAAACTTCTCTAGGTCGTAACTCAGCCCACCTCCTGAACACCTATGATCCGACACGCCGT